TGCCTTAAATCAGCCTTTCCCCAACCTGGGGCCAAAGAAATGATGTTGGATCTATGACTCCCATTAGCCCCATGCAGCATGACCAATGATCAGGGAGGATGAAAATTGTACTCCAAAACACCTGGAGGGCACCAAGTTGGGGAAGGCAACTTGTGTGCAAAGAAATACTAGTAGTTAGATGGTTGCTTGAGCATCTGTTTTGGGGAGTTGAACTAGCTTGGACCACTTGCAGGCAAGGCCTTAAAAGCTCTTTTCGAACTGGGTTTTCCCAGTGTGGGAAGATCTTTTTCGCTTTCAGACTTGCTCACTGGCCTCTGGGATGCTCTCACAGGAGCTCCAGGAGATCTTATGAGAACCTCCCAAAGCTCAGTAAGCCGGTCTGGACCTTAAAAGCGCTCCGCCTTGCTTGGAAGCTAAGGATGGTCACGCAAGGATATTTTTGCATATCCACAATTTATCAGTAGAAGTAAGGTAAAGGTACCCCTGCCCGTACGGGCCAGTCTTGACAGACTCTAGGGTTGTGCGCTCATCTCACTCTAGAGGCCAGGAGCCAGCGCTGTCCGCAGACACTTCCGGGTCACGTGGCCAGCATGACGAAGCTGCTCCGGCGAACCGGCACCAGAGCAGCACATGGAACGCCGTTTACCTTCCCGCTATAAAGTGGTCCCTATTTATCTACTTGCACCCGGGGGTGCTTTCGAACTGCTAGGTTGGCTGGCGCTGGGACCGAGCAACGGGAGCACACCCCGCCGCGGGGGTTCGAACCGCCAACCATGCGATCGGCAAGTCCTAGGCGCTGAGGCTTTACCCACAGCGCCACCCGCGTCCCTATCATCAGTAGAAGTAGTCACTGCTAAAAATGCCTGGAATGTGGTGCCTTAGATCAACGAATGCATAGGCTTCGCAAGGTTTTCAGATTTCTTCGGTCAATTGCCTATGAACCGCTGCTGAATGTCAAGCTAGTTTTGTAACTGTCAGTATTTTGCAGCCTGTTAGTGAGAAGTCAGTAAGATCACAGGCTAACTCTCTTGCCACCAGCATGTGTTTTGGGCTCTTGCAAATGTCTCATGGTGCATTCTCCGTTATGTAAGCAGATACAGTTTTAGAGCCATCAGGTAAGTAGCAAAAATCAAGACTAGAGCCGGACAGTGTTAATTAGTGTTGTCATGAAGTGTATCCCAGTTTCAATAATATAAAAGTTTTATCGGCACCGAATCAGTTGCATGCTAATTGCAATTCACCTTGACATTGATAGTGCATTTAATGTTGGTAGGGAGCCCAACCGCTTTCTACTGTATGAATACTTAATCATGAGATGACTGCTTTGTATAGAACCTTGAAGCTTAAATGGCTATTGGCTACCATTTACTTAAGTAGGTCTTACAAGAACAAATCTTTGCACAATAGGGTCAGGTTTCGAAGGCTTGGGAAGTTAGCTGCTTTTTTCCATTACATCCTTGTAATGGCATAAGAGTTAAGTTATACAGATCTACATAGCCAACGTTCCACAGCTAGCTGAGGATTTGTGCATGAATTACATAGTATTACCCTTTGGTAGCGAAGCAAACGTGTAAGTCAGGGGTAGTCAACGTGGTGCCCTCCAGATGTTGGACTCCATCTCCCATCAGCCTCAGCTGTCATTTCCAATGGTCAGAGACGATGGGAGCTGTAGTTCATCAACATGTGGAGGGCATGGTTTTGCTCACTTCTGCTCTAAGGTAAAAATGAATGTGCCAAGGAGTAGCTTTGACCTACTCCTAGTATAGGAGAGAGAGAGATCATCCAAGAGGAAATCCCATAAGAATATGGTGTGTACATGTCATCATTTGGAAGTGTAGCTTTTCCCCATTATCATACCCAAGCACAAAAATCAGTGTTCAGTAAACCACTGATGAGATGTTAAAAGGTAAAGGTAAAGGGACCCCTGACCATTAGGTCCAGTCGTGACCGACTCTGGGGTTGCAACACTCATCTCGCTTTATTGGCCGAGGGAGCTGGCGTTTGTCTGCAGACAGCTTCCAGGTCATGTGGCCAGCATGACAAAGCCACTTCTGGCGAACCAGAGCAGCACATGGAAACGCCGTTTACCTTCCCGCTGGAGCGGTACCTATTTATCTACTTGCACTTTGTGCTTTCGAACTGGTAGGTTGGCAGGAGCTGGGACATAACAACGGGAGCTTATGTTAGCATTAACATATTAAGTGTGCGTAATATGCGGAACAGAAATCTGATAATGTGGGATCTTGGACCTAGTAGCTTTCAGCTCTTACCTGTAATCCTATAGAGGTGTCAAAACAACCCAGGAAACACAGTTGCGGATGGGACCAGGGGTCTGTGTGCTGGCCCTACCCCTACCTACTTATAACTTTTATGTGCTGAGGTGGACTTACCTGCCTCACCTCTCACCTTGCCGAATTGAGCTGGTTGGACTGAAGGGATATTCCAATCTTCCCTGCTACAGGGAATCCCATGGGATCAGGAATTCTAAGGGCCCTTGGCTTAATGCATATAGAATCCTCAGTACAGACAGGGTGGTCACATGGGATCAGTTAGGCTGGGGGTGGTACACACTGCCCCTAGGCAGTTTGCAACCTTGTGTATTCTTTTGAACGCCAGAAGAGGGTTTAGCAGCATGCCAGTTCTTCTGTCGACACGTTTTTCATAGTCGCTAGCAACAGCATACAACCTTTCAATTTAACGATGATAGCTCGCCACCCACAAACTAGCAGATACCTTTGCACTAGTGGAAATGAAAGATATGTTGGGATCAAGCGTCTGCTGTGATCATCTGAAGCCCCATCGCTGTTGAGAGAAGGATAAGCAAAGTCTGCGATTGGTATGTCTGCAGGAGATGGCTGCCAGTGATTCCAAATGGATTTGTAATGTCACTATCGTACAACAATGAGAGAAATCAAAGGAGGCATGTGCTTTGAAAAGCAAAGAAATGTTCAGGTTTTGATGTAATGCTACCTCTTGTGGCTTGCTAACCGTTTTGTTTGTGGTCCTGATCACATTTCCATAGGTTTGCTGTTATAAATTCACACATTGTGGATCTGTTGCTCTCTTGGCTTCCTCTAATGCATGCAAGGGGGTTCTTTTTAAAGACCATCAATATATACTCCCCCCAAACCTGTATCACTGGACCCCTGAGCAATTTCTGCCCTCCCCGACTTTCACTTTTCTGATCCTTTTTGTTATAATTTATACCTGCCACAAGTGTGCCTCTTCAGAGAGAATGGTAATCAAGTAATGCACCTATTACTTTTATTTATTGAAAAAAAAGCTTGCAACCTTTTGCCTGAGCCTCTGGGCACATTTACATAATGAAATGGTTATCGTGGGGCAACCGGGATGCTTGCTGAATGCATAAGCATGTTCCACTTAAGAAAATGACAAAAGACGTTGTCCTCAAAACAGTCGCGGGAGGGTGCTTTAGGATACGGCTTGAAACAAAAGGCAGAAGGTGTCTGTGAGCTTTAGAGCATTGCACTGGACCAAGCAGTGCAACATGGGTGGAGAACCTCATGCCTAGGGGTCAAATGCAGCCCTCCTATTCGGCCCTTGTGATTTGCCCCAGGCCACAGCCCTTGCTGACCCTACAACACACCCTTAATGGACACATTTGCCTGATAATGACTCTTGCTTGTCTGGATGGAGGATAGAAAATCCTCTGTGTCTCTCTGTGTGTAGAAACTAGCCTACTGAACAAAGACAAAATTTAACCCACCCACTTTTGCTTCCAGCTCCTCCCACCACTGGCATGTGGTATTCAGGAGGTTACCCAGAAGGGAACGGGGTCCCCTGTCTGAAAAATATTCCCTTCCTCTACAATTCTCAGTGTGGGATGCAGATGACATCTAGTTGCACCTGATTATGTTCTCCCTGGCCAATAATGGCCAATAATGTTCAGTCCTTTTCTGGAAGAAACCAGTAGTGAAGACTGCAAATGTTAGTTGCATTTTCATTTATTTATGCATTCAGTGTTTCTACCACCCTTTTATCAGAAGGTCCAAGAGTGGAGTACAACATTAAAAACACATTGCAGAGCATCAGTGAGTTAAAAATAAATAAATGACAGAATGGCCTTCATAGTAAAATCATCATCATAATAACAGCCTACTTCCCTGCACTTTCATAGCAATAGGCCTAGGTAAATAGGAATGCTTTTGCCTGGTGTCTAAAGAGATGTAGTGACGGTGCCAGGCGAGTCTCTCTGGGGAGAGCATTCCACAATCTGGGAGCCACCACAGAAAAGGCCCGTTCTTGTGTTGCCACCCTCCAAAACTCTCCTGGATGGGGGGCATAGAGAAGGCTCTCAGATGACAAGTGCAGGGTCCAGGTTGATTCATACGGGGAGAGGTGATCCTTAAGGCCTTGAGGTCCTAATCGATATTAGATTAGAGTCTTCCTCAACCAGGTGCCCTCTAGATGTTGTGGCCTGTATCTCCTGTCAGCCCCAGCCAGCATGGCTGGTGGTCAGTGGTGATGGGGTTGTATTGCAAAATATCTGGAGGTATCTGGTTGAGGAAGCCTGCTCTACATGCACACGTTGTCAGGGCTGGCGCTTTGGAGGAAAGCAAGTGTGTGGCTGGTAGAGGTTCAGTCTGGCTGTCATCAGTTCCTAGCCATCTGGCTTAGGTGGAGAAGCCAAGCCAACACCAGAAGCTCGATAAGGGCATTGGATCCTGCTTGGCTGAACGCTATAGGATGCCCCTTGGCCATCTGCACTCGGGAAGTCTACAGCTCATTCTCCCATGGTCATTCATTTGCTCCTGCTTCAAAGACATGGAATAAATACACCATCCTCTGAAGAACTTGCCTGTTGTGCATGAGTCACTTTTCTGGGCTTCAGTCTTTTCAGTCAGGCAACCTGCATCCAGATTAGCAACATGCAGAAAGGAAGGGTGGACTCGTCCTGAGGCTAGCTGGTTCTTATTCTCGCATGCTGTAAAAGTTCAACCTTGCGAGTGAAGAAGGGTCACGGCTCTCCAGTGATTGATGGAACGGATGTCACTCAGTGGTAGGGTGCATGCTTTGCATGCAAGAGATTCCAGGATTCAATCCCTGAGTTTTCCTGGGAAACGCTCTCATGTCTGATTCTCGGCATCTCTCCAAGGTTTCAGTGTAGAGCTAAACGGACCTACAGTCTGACTTTGATTGAGGAAGATTTCTCCATTACTGAAGCTTGAGCTCTCTGAGGCTCGGTGGTGAGGAATGTGTGTGTCACACTGCCCTCACAAGCTTGGTACAGGGTGCTCTAGACTCCAGGGAGACATGATTGTGCCTTGGCTTGCTAGATAATATGGCCTCCTGTGACCCTGTTTAACAGCGGTAGCCAGCCAAATACAACCTGAGCTTTAACAAGTCATTCTATTTATTTCTTGATCAGATGAAATCTTGGCTGGTTGCCTGTGCAACAAGCTGGATCTGGTATGTCCGCAGCTCTGTTAACCTTGCTTAATCTCTCATCTTGCTTCTGTTGCTTAGCCTCATGTGGATGATGGCTTGGATCTTGCATCTTCCCAAGCCTGGCCCTTATTCCAGATCCTCTGCAGATTCATCATCCCTTACTCTCGTTTCTTGCAAATGAGCTGACAGGGCAGGCATGCCATTTTTGCCAGTCATTTTGGGATGTACTCTGCGTGGGAGGGGGAAGTTCCCTTTGAACAGTGTTTGCAACTTTTCTGTGGAGGAAGAGATGCCTTGACAACAGCAACTTTTAAAAGGGCCTTTTCTGTAGTGGCTCCCCATTTGTGGAATGCTCTCCCCAGAAAGGCTTGCCTGGTGCCATCATTACATGTCTTTAGGCACAAGGTGAAAACATTCCTCTTTATCCAGGCATCCGGCCATTAAACAATCTTTGACTTTTAAATGGGGGAGGGACTATTATTGGTTTTTTGTGATTGTTTCATTGTCTTTTATTCTAATGCTATGTAAAATATGTTTTTAATGTTGTACATCTCCCTGGGGACTTTGAATAAAGGGCAGTATATAAATTGAATAAATAATAAAAAAAGAAAAGAATTCTGTATCTAGAGCAGGAGTGGGGAATCTCAGGCCTGGGTGTCAAATGTGGCCCTCAAGTCGTTTTGGAGTGGCCCTCACTGACCCTGCTTTGCAAACCCTGAACATTCACTGACTTGAATGTGTCTTTGAACTCCTAACAATGCCCCTTTTTTGGATGAAATCCTCCAAGGATGGAAGATACAGAGAGGGGTGCAAGTAGCAACTAGCCCACTATACAAAGATATACTTTGAAGCCATGGCCCCACCACTTTTTTCTCTGGCTCCGCCCCACCACCGCTATATGGCCCTCGTAAGGATGCCCAGAAGAGAATGTGGCCCTTGGGCTGGAAATTCATTCATTCATTCATGTCATATATATATAACACCTTTTTCTTCCAAGGAGCTCAAGGTCCTCCCTCCCCCCCCCCCATTTCACCCTCACGACAACCCTGTGAAGTAGGTTAGACTAAGAGATTATGACTGGCCCAAGATCACCCAGTGAGCTTCATGGTTGAGAGGGGATTCTCCCAGGTCATAGTCCAACACTCTAACCATTGTGCCATGCGGGCTCTGCCCTGATCTAGAGAGTAGCAAAAACTGCTAGCACTCCCCACCCCCTCTCTCTATTCCAATTAACTTTTTAGGAGATCGCATTCTTCTTATTTGTGGAAGTCTGCATTGTTGAAAAGCTGAGTGGAGTTTTTCAGGGCTTATTGCTAACCTTTACTCATCTATTTATCTTTCTCCCTGTAGTGCTCTCAAATTAATCCCCCCCCTTTGTTTATTTGTTTGTTGGACAGTTTGTTATTTCAGTTTGCCCAGGATCTTGATTTTAATGCATTTCCCAACCTCCCCATAGACCACTCACTTATTTTGCCCCCAGAGACCTTCAAACCCAATGTTTGTTTTGGCCTTTCTTGGTCCAATCAAAGCTTGGTGCTGCAATCAAATTGGTCCCCGAGGTGCCACGGCATCATTCTGTGTGTTCTGCTGATTAATACAACTGCAACCCTGGAATCTTCCCTGCCTCTTCAATAGGTCATTTCTAGGAACAGTTTGTGCCTTAGCCTGAAATTATTTTATCTGGAATCAACTCCACTTATTTCAACAAAGGTGTTTAGGACTTCGTCCTTATGACATATCCCAACATTTGGTGATCTAGCTCTGGAGCACCTAGAATTGGAGTGCAGAAAGCTTTGTCCTCTGTACCACACGAGAAACCATCACCTACCTATTTATCTACTTGCACTGGCATGCTTTCGAACTGCTAGGCTGGCAGGAGCTGGGATAGAGCAACGGGAGCTCACCCTGTCGCGGGGATTCGAACCGCCAACCTTCTGATCGGCAAACCCAAGAAGCTCAGTGGTTTAGACCACAGCACCACCCACGTTCCTATTGTTCTGTGAGTAGTTTACCCTTTGCTTTTATGAGGTATTAGGGACAGAGTAGAGGGAGAGCCACTGGTGTCCCCTCACATCAGCAACCATCAACCTTGGTTGTGGAGCGTCACTGGCTGTGATGTGGGACAGACCTTTTCTGGGGAAATTTCCCCCAAATGGAAGATTTTTCTGCATTTTATTTTTCCAGGGATAGGCGTCGTGTTTCGTAGGAGCATTGAGTAACAATAAATGGATGCCAGTTGCAAATAAAATATTAGGCAAGTATGGCAGGGTCAGTGTTTTGACCTTTGTTTGCTAAATACAAGTAAGATAAGCCTGCTAGCTCTCTGGGACAGGATGCCCTCCGGATGCTGTGAATCTCAATCTCCCCATCACCCTTGACAGTTATTCCTTACCATGGTTCTTACTGGCTGGGGCTGATCTGAAGGGCCATCTCTGCTCTAGGCCATCAGAAAATGTTTCCCATGCAAACAATTTCTAGTGCAAAATAACTTAATTTTTGCATAGGAGGATTTTCTGGAAACCCCACACCACAGGGGTGTTGTTTTTTTTGCAAGAAGGCTGGCCTTTTGCCCAAGATTTTGTAATGAGGTTTTGTGCTGGAAGGTGGTCGTAAACCCATAAGAAATGACAAACCCCAAACGCATCTTTGTTTTAAACATAACAGGTTTTATTAATTCAAATTGAGTTAGGGTTTAAATGCCAGGTACCACAAGCGCTCATCTAAGGCCCTTGATCCCAGACGGCCTGCTATGTTCCATTCTAAACAGAGAAGTTCTGTTTGTCCAATGTGGCATTATCTGATGAAACAATGTTTGCATTTCCAAGCCTAAAACCGCAAGGGAACCGAGAGCCCTCTCTAAACCACTTGGAGTAATGGCAACATTGCAGCAGTAGATGTGCGTCATTCTAAATTCCTCCTTGAAAATAGCGCCGGAGGAGTGCTCTGGCTTCAAGATGGGTATGGCATGATTATACCTCGGCAAGAGCTCTGCAAGACTGGTGTTTTATTGTGTGCGTACTGCTGCATGTTCCTGAAGTTACTGGTGGATTTATTCTGCTTTGGTTTGTTCCGCGATGCTTCCCCAGTGCTACCACTTTGTTGCTGTCTAGAGGGGCTGTGGTGCCTTTTAACCTCCTCTCTTCTCCAGCCTAAGGGACACGGGTGGCGCTGTGGGTTAAACCACTGAGCCTAGGACTTGCTGATCAGAAGGTCGGCGGTTTGAATCCCCGCTACAGGGTGAGCTCCCGTTGCTCGGTCCCTGCTCTTCCTAACCTAGCAGTTCGAAAGCACGTCAAAGTGCAAGTAGATAAATGGGTACCACTCTGGCGGGAAGGTAAACGGTGTTTCCGTGCACTGCTCTGGTTCGCCAGAAGTGGCTTGGTCATGCTGGCCACATGACCCGGAAGCTGTATGCCGGCTTCCTCGGCCAGTAAAGCAAGATGATCACCACGACTGGACCGAATGGTCAGGGGTCCCTTTACCTTTTTACGTCTCCAGCCTGCACTTCTGCTTCTGCCTCTGCCCCAGCCTACCGTTTCAGCTTCCGACACATCTCTCTCTCAGTCTGCTCCCTCTGACCACTCATTGTTGTCCCACCAACAATAATTGAAACTGAAATACTTTATTGTCACTTGTACAACTTGTATACAGTGAGATTACACGAGCACCTCCCACTCAGCTCTCTTTGTCTTAATTCCCCTCGTTTACTGACGCACACACACCAAACTCAAAAGTTATTTGCCCTGTTGTTATCTTTTCATTCAGCAGCCTAACAGCCCACGGATAGAAGCTGTTCTTTACCCTGTTGGCGCAACTAATCATGCTTCTATATCTTCTGCCCCAGGGCAGGAGATCAAGAAAGTGCTGGCCAGGGTGTGAATCATCCCTGAGAATTTTCTTCACTCTCCTGAGGCAACGTTCTTCCGCGATGTCATCCAGCGGATTCACGGGGCAGCCTATAATATCTTGTGCTTTATTCACCACCCTCTGTAGGCACTTCCTATCAGTTGATGGCAAACCAGCGTACCACACCGTGATTCAGTATCCCCTGGCTCTGAGCCTTCTTCCCTTGGGGGTTCCCCAGCTCTTGCCTCCCACCACTCCTCGGCATCCAGCCAGTCCATGGCATCGGCTGTATTTGGTACATTTTGTTTAAGTGATTTTTCTTCAATTTCAAATTTCAGCATTCTATGCCTGTAACACTGAGCTGGCCTCGTGGATCATTGACTCTCCCCATCTCTTGCTATAGTATGGTCATCATATTATTTCAGAATGGATGTTAAGATACTTGGATATTGCTTGATGTGGACTAGAAACACTTGCATTGCCCAGGAGAGCCAGTGTGGTGTAGTGGTTAAGAGCAGTGGACTCGTAATCTGGGGAACCGGGTTCGTGTCTCTGCTCCTCCACATGCAGCTGCTGGGTGACCTTGGGCCAGTCACATTTCTTTGAAGTCTCTCAGCCCCACTCACCTCACAGAGTGTCTGTTGTGGGGGAGGAAGGGAAAGGAGAATGTTAGCCGCTTTGAGACTCCTGAAGGGGAGTGAAAGGCGGGATATCAAATCCAAATTCTTCTTCTTCTTCTTCTTCTTCTTCTTCTTCTTCTTCTTCTTCTTCTTCTGGAGCCAAGGTCCCATTCTTGAGCTAATTGGGTGCTCAGAATTAAT